GGCGTGATGATTGCTCGGCCATCTGGCCCTCCGGTATTGGCGTAGGATGACGCGGGGGGGGCTCTGAAATGTACGCATGGACGCCTGCTATTACCTTGGCAATAATCATTAACCTCAATTAAATGTCACCGAGGCCACCCCCTATCCCCCCTGGGGCTCCCCTGGGGCTCCCCTGGGGTCGTGTGTTGGCAGGACATCAGGAGGGCTGCTCAAGGATCAAGGGTCAGGTTCCATTCGTAACAAGGACCCAGAGGGGAGGTGGGGTCCAGTAACTAATCAGTAGTAAGCAGTGGGGGCTGAGAGGAGGGGAGGGGTGTTCAGTGATCAAAAAGCCAAATTCTAGTCAAAATTAGGGACCCGATAGGGGGAGGAGAAGGGGTCGGACAATTAGTTAATGTGGCCCTCCTTCGCTGTCTCGCGATGTGGTGGGAGATGTGCGTGTGTGTGTCGTAGCCGATTGTTGGATCAGAAGTCGCTCCCATTTCTTGATGTACTTTTGAGCGAAAGGTCTGACGGAAGTATTCAACGTAGGGTCTATCGTAAGAAGACGGGGTCCAGCCAGCATACCCATTTTGCTAGTTCTGTACCGTTAAACTTCAAACTTAATTTAGCACGATGTCTGACGCATAGAGCGAAAAGGATTTACTCGACCGATAGCATCGAAGAAGAGCTTAAGATGATAGAAGGCGTTTTTTGACAAAGTGGGTATTCTAGTCGATTTGTTTCCCAGGGCATGGCTGAAAGACCGCCAAAGCCATCGGTACTAACAACAGAGAAGAAAGGAATATTCATTAGGGTCTCAGTTCAACAGGAAGCGCCAAGCGGACTCTTAGAAGGCGCCTGAGCCAAGTTGTATGGAAAACATATCCAGCAGCCATTGCTCATATACTGTTCTCAACTACGCCCATTATATACGGAGATGATAAGGACAACCTGTCAGCCCAGACCACCTCTTTGTGTATCTATTCACTCACCTGCTCCCATAGGGCAGAATATATTGTTCGCCGAGCCAGTGTCTGTTCAAAGGAGTGCGAAAACAATTTCCGCTATGTTTGGAGATGGGCCAAATTAAGGGCATTAATAGAGTTATTTTAGCGCACATGGTAGACTCAAACCATCGCGTGGATGCCAGAGGGGCCTTCCGAATAATTGTCTAAATGCCCTCCAGCTATTTAAAATTACTTGGACAGTGTCTGCTAGCTAACGTAGAAGCAGCTGCCACCAGGCAACGCAGACTGGGATTGTGCGCTTAAAAAGAACTTTGTGACAGTGCCGCAGTTACCATGGCTGAAAGTCACTAGTACAATCGCACACTCCTTATCACCGGCCTCGGAAATGGGTCAGCCCAGAGAAGGCAAAGTCCTCAATTCAACTGCGTGCACGTCGGTCCACCTTGACCTCATTTCCCTCTACACTCACCCCTACAGCCCCTGACAACAACAACACTACACCTGTCCACCAACCAGTATGATTTATTCATTTACTTACCTGAAGAGGGTTTATCTAAGGCAAACGTATGCCCACCAGTTTCTCTTTTGATATTTACAATGGGAATTTTCTCAAATATAAATAATAAAGCTTAATTAGTTTTAAAAGAATACAACATTTGACATAAGCTGCTGCCATCTTCGGAAAAAGGCGCCATGGTTTTGACCCGCAAATGGCGTGTTGTAAAAATCCGTGGATAACTTGTCAAATATTAGATTGTGCCCATACTTTGGCCCTCCAACTTCAACGCCAACCTTCCACGCTGATGTTTAGATGGCGTGATGTGGTTGGTAGCACGACACTTGTTGCGTAATGGTTTAGCTGGATGCTATGCGCAGCGCTTTACCTGCCTATCTCGGACACTGGAAAGAAACTTGCCACTTTTCAACAACCACATAATTGAGTAGCGGTTGCGTGGCGAAGTTAGCGTTAGTTTGTGTCTTTAATTAGTTTGGCTATTAGCTATCAGTAAAAGAGATTCATAAAAGTGCATGAAGCATAGGTCCTATTTGATTTTTGTCACGGTAAACTAAGCATTAACCGTTATTACTTAAACCCAGAAAAAGATTCTTTTTCGTCTGACACCTAATGGAACGCTTAAATATAAGTCAATTGTTCCCGCACAGTTGCTTTTCTTCAAATCACAGGCAGATGTTTAAAATTCATGAGAAGGACTCCTAACACGAATTGTTGTCGCGCATGCATTCATTGATTCATTCATTCATAAACTCCCGAAACGATGTTTGACCTTGCATTGTGTTTTAGAAAAACAAAACCAATTGCTTTAACGTGGCGCCAGCATACGTTTGCTTTCGGTAGCCTATCTTCAGGCTTGTATAGAAGGTTAAAAAAGTCCCCTGGGACCAGCATTTCATTTGCCCAACTTGCATATTTATATTGTTAGTAA